TCCTTATGTAGTAAACCAGAACACCTTAGTAAATTTAGATCTAGTAAATTAGAAGTAGTAAATCTGTATGTCTAGTAACCCAGAACACCCTAGTAAATCTACAGATTGAGTAACGTTACTATAAATCAACCCAGTCAATTTGTTTGTCTTGTAACCCAAAACACTATAGTAAATATGCAGATCTAGATCTAGTAAACTAGAACTAGTTAATCTGTTTGTCTAATAACCCAGAACACCCTAGTAAGTCTACAGATTGAGTAACATTACTACAAATCAACCTAGTAAGTCTACAGATTGAGTAACGTTACTACAAATCAACCTAGTAAGTCTACAGATTGAGTAACATTACTATAAATCAAAACTAGTAAATCTGTATGTCTAGTAACCCAGAACACCCTAGAAAGTCTACAGATTGAGTAACGTTACTATAAATCAAAACTAGTACATCTGTATGTCTAGTAACCCAGAACACCCTAGTAAGTCTACAGATTGAGTAACATTACTACAAATCAACCTAGTAAGTCTACAGATTGAGTAACGTTACTACAAATCAACCTAGTAAGTCTACAGATTGAGTAACATTACTATAAATCAAAACTAGTAAATCTGTATGTCTAGTAACCCAGAACACCCTAGAAAGTCTACAGATTGAGTAACGTTACTATAAATCAAAACTAGTACATCTGTATGTCTAGTAACCCAGAACACCCTAGTAAGTCTACAGATTGCGTAACGTTACTATAAATCAAAACTAGTACATCTGTATGTCTAGTAACCCAGAACACCCTAGTAAGTCTACAGATTGCGTAACGTTACTATAAATCAAAACTAGTACATCTGTATGTCTAGTAACCCAGAACACCCTAGTAAGTCTACAGATTGCGTAACGTTACTATAAATCAAAACTAGTACATCTGTATGTCTAGTAACCCAGAACACCCTAGTAAGTCTACAGATTGCGTAACGTTACTATAAATCAAAACTAGTACATCTGTATGTCTAGTAACCCAGAACACCCTAGTAAGTCTACAGATTGCGTAACGTTACTATAAATCAAAACTAGTACATCTGTATGTCTAGTAACCCAGAACACCCTAGTAAGTCTACAGATTGCGTAACGTTACTATAAATCAAAACTAGTACATCTGTATGTCTAGTAACCCAGAACACCCTAGTAAGTCTACAGATTGCGTAACGTTACTATAAATCAAAACTAGTACATCTGTATGTCTAGTAACCCAGAACACCCTAGTAAGTCTACAGATTGCGTAACGTTACTATAAATCAAAACTAGTACATCTGTATGTCTAGTAACCCAGAACACCCTAGTAAGTCTACAGATTGCGTAACGTTACTATAAATCAAAACTAGTACATCTGTATGTCTAGTAACCCAGAACACCCTAGTAAGTCTACAGATTGCGTAACGTTACTATAAATCAAAACTAGTACATCTGTATGTCTAGTAACCCAGAACACCCTAGTAAGTCTACAGATTGCGTAACGTTACTATAAATCAAAACTAGTACATCTGTATGTCTAGTAACCCAGAACACCCTAGTAAGTCTACAGATTGCGTAACGTTACTATAAATCAAAACTAGTACATCTGTATGTCTAGTAACCCAGAACACCCTAGTAAGTCTACAGATTGCGTAACGTTACTATAAATCAAAACTAGTACATCTGTATGTCTAGTAACCCAGAACACCCTAGTAAGTCTACAGATTGCGTAACGTTACTATAAATCAAAACTAGTACATCTGTATGTCTAGTAACCCAGAACACCCTAGTAAGTCTACAGATTGCGTAACGTTACTATAAATCAAAACTAGTACATCTGTATGTCTAGTAACCCAGAACACCCTAGTAAGTCTACAGATTGCGTAACGTTACTATAAATCAAAACTAGTACATCTGTATGTCTAGTAACCCAGAACACCCTAGTAAGTCTACAGATTGCGTAACGTTACTATAAATCAAAACTAGTACATCTGTATGTCTAGTAACCCAGAACACCCTAGTAAGTCTACAGATTGCGTAACGTTACTATAAATCAAAACTAGTACATCTGTATGTCTAGTAACCCAGAACACCCTAGTAAGTCTACAGATTGCGTAACGTTACTATAAATCAAAACTAGTACATCTGTATGTCTAGTAACCCAGAACACCCTAGTAAGTCTACAGATTGCGTAACGTTACTATAAATCAAAACTAGTACATCTGTATGTCTAGTAACCCAGAACACCCTAGTAAGTCTACAGATTGCGTAACGTTACTATAAATCAAAACTAGTACATCTGTATGTCTAGTAACCCAGAACACCCTAGTAAGTCTACAGATTGCGTAACGTTACTATAAATCAAAACTAGTACATCTGTATGTCTAGTAACCCAGAACACCCTAGTAAGTCTACAGATTGCGTAACGTTACTATAAATCAAAACTAGTACATCTGTATGTCTAGTAACCCAGAACACCCTAGTAAGTCTACAGATTGCGTAACGTTACTATAAATCAAAACTAGTACATCTGTATGTCTAGTAACCCAGAACACCCTAGTAAGTCTACAGATTGCGTAACGTTACTATAAATCAAAACTAGTACATCTGTATGTCTAGTAACCCAGAACACCCTAGTAAGTCTACAGATTGCGTAACGTTACTATAAATCAAAACTAGTACATCTGTATGTCTAGTAACCCAGAACACCCTAGTAAGTCTACAGATTGCGTAACGTTACTATAAATCAAAACTAGTACATCTGTATGTCTAGTAACCCAGAACACCCTAGTAAGTCTACAGATTGCGTAACGTTACTATAAATCAAAACTAGTACATCTGTATGTCTAGTAACCCAGAACACCCTAGTAAGTCTACAGATTGCGTAACGTTACTATAAATCAAAACTAGTACATCTGTATGTCTAGTAACCCAGAACACCCTAGTAAGTCTACAGATTGCGTAACGTTACTATAAATCAAAACTAGTACATCTGTATGTCTAGTAACCCAGAACACCCTAGTAAGTCTACAGATTGCGTAACGTTACTATAAATCAAAACTAGTACATCTGTATGTCTAGTAACCCAGAACACCCTAGTAAGTCTACAGATTGCGTAACGTTACTATAAATCAAAACTAGTACATCTGTATGTCTAGTAACCCAGAACACCCTAGTAAGTCTACAGATTGCGTAACGTTACTATAAATCAAAACTAGTACATCTGTATGTCTAGTAACCCAGAACACCCTAGTAAGTCTACAGATTGCGTAACGTTACTATAAATCAAAACTAGTACATCTGTATGTCTAGTAACCCAGAACACCCTAGTAAGTCTACAGATTGCGTAACGTTACTATAAATCAAAACTAGTACATCTGTATGTCTAGTAACCCAGAACACCCTAGTAAGTCTACAGATTGCGTAACGTTACTATAAATCAAAACTAGTACATCTGTATGTCTAGTAACCCAGAACACCCTAGTAAGTCTACAGATTGCGTAACGTTACTATAAATCAAAACTAGTACATCTGTATGTCTAGTAACCCAGAACACCCTAGTAAGTCTACAGATTGCGTAACGTTACTATAAATCAAAACTAGTACATCTGTATGTCTAGTAACCCAGAACACCCTAGTAAGTCTACAGATTGCGTAACGTTACTATAAATCAAAACTAGTACATCTGTATGTCTAGTAACCCAGAACACCCTAGTAAGTCTACAGATTGCGTAACGTTACTATAAATCAAAACTAGTACATCTGTATGTCTAGTAACCCAGAACACCCTAGTAAGTCTACAGATTGCGTAACGTTACTATAAATCAAAACTAGTACATCTGTATGTCTAGTAACCCAGAACACCCTAGTAAGTCTACAGATTGCGTAACGTTACTATAAATCAAAACTAGTACATCTGTATGTCTAGTAACCCAGAACACCCTAGTAAGTCTACAGATTGCGTAACGTTACTATAAATCAAAACTAGTACATCTGTATGTCTAGTAACCCAGAACACCCTAGTAAGTCTACAGATTGCGTAACGTTACTATAAATCAAAACTAGTACATCTGTATGTCTAGTAACCCAGAACACCCTAGTAAGTCTACAGATTGCGTAACGTTACTATAAATCAAAACTAGTACATCTGTATGTCTAGTAACCCAGAACACCCTAGTAAGTCTACAGATTGCGTAACGTTACTATAAATCAAAACTAGTACATCTGTATGTCTAGTAACCCAGAACACCCTAGTAAGTCTACAGATTGCGTAACGTTACTATAAATCAAAACTAGTACATCTGTATGTCTAGTAACCCAGAACACCCTAGTAAGTCTACAGATTGCGTAACGTTACTATAAATCAAAACTAGTACATCTGTATGTCTAGTAACCCAGAACACCCTAGTAAGTCTACAGATTGCGTAACGTTACTATAAATCAAAACTAGTACATCTGTATGTCTAGTAACCCAGAACACCCTAGTAAGTCTACAGATTGCGTAACGTTACTATAAATCAAAACTAGTACATCTGTATGTCTAGTAACCCAGAACACCCTAGTAAGTCTACAGATTGCGTAACGTTACTATAAATCAAAACTAGTACATCTGTATGTCTAGTAACCCAGAACACCCTAGTAAGTCTACAGATTGCGTAACGTTACTATAAATCAAAACTAGTACATCTGTATGTCTAGTAACCCAGAACACCCTAGTAAGTCTACAGATTGCGTAACGTTACTATAAATCAAAACTAGTACATCTGTATGTCTAGTAACCCAGAACACCCTAGTAAGTCTACAGATTGCGTAACGTTACTATAAATCAAAACTAGTAAATCTGTATGTCTAGTAACCCAGAACAACCTAGTAAGCACACAGCTTTCAAATGTAAGGCTTTCCCCCAACTTCCAAGCAAATCTTTGACAAGCCCACATACAAAGTTTGCTCATCGTCTACTTAGCAAGTAGTAATTTAGTAACTAGCTCTCCCGGCTCACCTGCAGATCTGCGCCCTGCGCGCGGCAGTCCGTGTAGTTCTCCCAGGCCTGGGACAGATCAGCCGGGTGTGAGCTGGCCATGTCCAGCTGACCGCCACCGGCTCCGGTTCATCCACAGCAGCGACCGAAGCTCTAAAATCCAGCGGTGAAGCCCGAGCTGCGTGAGCGGGAACGGCACATCAGTTCATTAGGCGTCCGTCCGGATTAGGAGATGCGAAGTCCGTTAAATCCGTTACTGCCTAGAGATGACATAGAACTTTTGAATTGACGGCTGGCGCGAATTGGGCTCTAGTTCGCATTGAAGTCCGTTTATTCCAGTCTGGCTGACAGTGAGTTAGCTGTCAAGTTACAGTTGCAAGCAGACACATGAAGAAGTAATATTAGTGCACCGCTTCGCGTTGAACACAAGTTGGGGCTTATATTAGCTTCGGCGTCAACATCAGCGTGAATGAACCAGCAAAAAATGCAATAACTAAAAAAAGAGACTTTATGTTTGCGTGAATCTGGATCATTTCACGCAGCGGCGGACGCAGAATCTCCTGCAGCACAGCTTAGGCTAACACTCATTCATTTAACTTAAGTTATGTCAAATATGAGGTAGAACGAATGCCAACCGGACATGTTTAATCATCATATCAATATTATTCATTTGAACGCAAGGTCTAAATGCAATTACAATGTACGTACCTCGCCTCAGGTCTTCCTTCTAACATGTACACAAGCAATTTAGAAGGGGAAAAAATTACATGCAAAACAGTAAAGGAAATAACGCCCACAAAACAGAATCCTAAGCGGCTATTGGTTGAAAAGACTGTCATTCAAATCAGTGGCCTATGAGGATGCTTCTTCTCGCCAGTCATTCGGATGACGCCAATCGTATCCCTGTAAGGGCGGGGCTTAGGCGCTTACGTTCTTGTTCCCGCTGTGGGCGGGGCTGACGTGATGACGCAACTGCGGGTCATTATTTTAAGTCCTCCTTTTCATGTATTAAACGTCAAATATTATATATATATATATATTGCACATACAAGTCATGCTCCTATTTTGTTCTGCACATTTTCATGCAAGTCTGTGTCCAGTTGTTTTATTTCTGATTATATATTTTTTCACTGTCTAAACAATCAGCTTTAATTATTAGAATTTCCCCGTACTATAAAATACACTTGCATAATATTACAAAACATAAATATATAATATTATGAAATGTATTGATCTAATTTTTCCATCTCAAGATGTATTTAACTTTACATTTACAACTGAAATATACTTCTCCTTTCAGCACTTTTTAAAGGTCTCACACTTCAAACTGTTCTAAAGAAAACTTACATTAAAAAAATTAAAATAAAATCAAGTCAAATCAAGTCAAATAAAATAAAATAAAATAAAATAAAATAAAATAAAATAAAATAAAATAAAATAAAATAAAATAAAATAAAATAAAATCAAGTCAAGTAAAATAAAATAAAATAAAATAAAATAAAATAAAATAAAATAAAATAAAATAAAATAAAATAAAATAAAATAAAATAAAATCAAGTAAAATAAAATAAAATAAAGTCAAGTAAAATAAAATAAAATAAAATAGTCAAGTAAAAAAATAAATAAATAATAATAATAATAATAAAATCAAGTCAAGTAAAATAAAATAATAAAAAAAATAAAGTCAAGTAAAATAAAATAAAATAAAATAAAAAAATAAAATAAAATCAAGTCAAGTAAAATAAAATAAAATAAAATCAAGTAAAGTGAAATAAAATAAAATCAAGTAAAGTGAAATAAAATAAAATCAAGTCAAGTAAAATGAAATAAAATAAAATAAAATCAAGTCAATTCAAGTAAAATAAAATAAAATCAAGTCAAGTAAAATAAAGTAAAGTAAAGTAAAGTAAAGTAAAGTAAAATAAAGTCAAGTCGTCAAATAAAATAAAATAAAATAAAATCAAGTCAAATAAAATAAAATCAAGTCAAGAAAATTGAAATAAAATAATTAAATTCAATTTAGTTTAATTAAAAAAATTAATTCACAAAAGCTGTTTTAGAACGTGATGCTTATTTCTGTTTTTTTTTAAAAACATATTTGATCATTTTTGTTCAATTAATTTACATGATTTACATTTCCGGCTATTATAGTAATATCTACAGAAATGTATATATATTTTTCAGTGGCAAGAACACCTGATAGCACAATTGGTAAATGTAAAATAATAATAAACAATCATAATTATAAGAATAATAACCAATTTTAAAAATGTTATGATGTAATTAATGTCCTACACAGTCAAAGAGATAAGAAACCGTAAGAAAATAATAACTAGACAATCTTATGGTTTGTTCAGGGACTGAAGAAAAACATTTTCATATGATTTTTTAGGCTGTTGCTGCTCTCTGGTGGTTTTTATTATTAGGACTTTATCACAGCATGAGTCTAAGTAATAACAGAGTTTAAGCACTCTAAGAATATATAAAAATGACAAGGATAAATAAAATATGATTTTATTGCAAAGATGTATGTGTAAACATCGATTAAGGTCAGGTTATTTCACAATCGTATCATTTCTTTATCTTTTAAAAAGGATACTCTCAGTATTGGGGTAAGGATGTTAGCTTTGCTGAAAATTGTTGGAAAAGACATGAAACTATATTCACATGACCTCGTTAACATTTAATTGATCTTTAAAGCACCATGATCATATTTAAGGCACGGATGCATTTAAAAATCTTTAATACTGAGTGTGGCTTTATTGCATCTTTCAGGCAAGACACGTTGTAACAGAAGCATTCAGACGGAACTGCCATGTCCTTCATCACCGGAGGTTTGCTCACGTCTCTTTGAATCTTCAGTTCCAGCCTTCTCGCTCCACACAGCCCAGTCCCACAGCGTTATCCGGACACCTGCACGAGCGCCCAGCAGCTGTCGCAAGACATAAGTGAGTGCAGCCGCCATTATTGCTCGAGCAGTAGTTCTGACCTGATGGGAAACAGTGAATATCTTACATTAGCTGCAATAATGGCACAAATGTGTTTTGTTTCAGGCATTATGATACCTTGAACCTTTGCTCTGGGGTCCAGTTGTTTACAAATGTTGAGCATCAAAAACTAACATCATTTATGAAGAACCAAAGCACACAAGAGGGAGAAATCCTACCAGACGGGCAGTGAGCGTGTGCTGTGGTGATCCCGTACAGACGTGTTCGTTTCTGGGGCTGGAACTCGTCCACCTCTCGCCTCGCATATCGATCGACCACAACTACAGCACCCCTGCTCAACACAAACACACAAACCATCAGGAACACACTATGTTTGTGATACATATGCATGTCCTACTACTTGTTTCGCTTCCGTTTCAGTTTTTATAACCATTTCTTACTATGTGTCAGTAAGTGTTATTGACAGTGACAGTGTTATTTTTTAGGATTACTGATAAACTACTGTCGTTTGATTTGTTATTTATTTTAAATTTAGTTAAATTATGTCTGAATTTATTATGTCTGTATAGGTCTTTTATTAAGTTTTTAGTTTTATTTAATTTGAGTTATTTTAATACTTTAACAAACTAAATGGAAATGAAATAATATATATATTGAATTTATAAATGTGTACATATACAGTATATATGTGTATACACACATATGTAGTTGTTTTTTGGTGTTTGGCTTAGTGTTATGTTAGAATCATTATTATACTCATACCTTTTGTTCTTTAATATTTGGAATTGTTTTTAGCTTTATTTTTTTTGTTTTTCATTTAAATGTTAAGTTTTGAAATTTTGTTGTATGCATTTGTCATTTTTATTTAATCTCTTTATTTTTAAAATGTGTATAGGTAGTATTTATAACGTTTTAGCTTTTAGTTTTGGATCTGTTTTTAGTTGTTTTAATGCTAGAATTGATTGCTTCTGTTGTCCTCATTTGTGAGTCGCTTTGGATAAAAACATCTGATAAATGACTAAATAAATAAATAAATGTATGAAAAATAAATGAACTGTTTTTGAAAGAAGTCTTCTGCTTATTCAAGTCTGCATTTATTTGATTTAAAAATACAGTAAAAACTGTAGAATATTTTTAACATTTAAAATAACTGTTTTCTATGTGAATACATGTTAAAATGTAATTTAATTCCAGCATCATTCCTCCAGTCTTCAGTGTCACATGATCTTCAGAAATCAGTATAATATGCTGATTTGCTGCTCGAGAAACATTTCTGATTATTATCAATGTTGAAAACAGTCGTGCTGCACAATATTTTAGTGGAAACTGTGATGCATTTTATTTTTCAGGATTCACAGATTAATAGAAAGTTGAAAAGTACAGCATTTATTTGAAATAGAAATCTTTTGTAACATTATAAATTACTTTTGATCAATTTAATGCATCCTTGATGCATAAAAGTATTAGTTATATTATCATTATTTTATTAACTAAATAATAATTAATATTTGCAGGTTTGCATCACAGGACTAAATGACATATTACAATAAAAACACTCATTTTAAATTGTAATAATAGTTCACAATATTACGTTTTTTGCTGTATTTTTCATTAAATAAATGCAGCCTTGGTGAGCAGAAGAGACTTCTTTAAAACACACACACACACACTCACACACTCTCACACACACACACTAATACATGTATGGACTATTAAGATTTTTTGCACCATTTTCATGAAAATTACGCATATTTTCCTCCCAAATTCTTATTATTGTAGTGCATCCTGACCTTTTGCATGTGAGTTGTCTGTGTATTGCTTATTATTTTCAATTGCTATAACAGCTCCAATGTGATTCTCCTCTAACAGAGAGCAAAAGGCTGTAAGAAGATCAGAGAGAGACACTAGACGGCCCGTGAAATTACACGCAGCTGCCACAAGCCTTAAAACAGGCCTCTTGACCCGACCTCTGCATAGCAAACACATTTAGGGTTAAAGCGCCAAATCAGTGCATGCTGCTGTTGAGGGAACCCACGCTAGCACACAGACACATCAAGGCCTTAGAAGAACAGAGAGCTGTTGAGCTCACAGGTTTAGACTGAACCTTGACCTTGCTTTCCCATCCTAAACCACAACCGAACAACACGAGCAAGACCAGATGAAATCTTAATTAGGTGATTAACTAACAGTTATTTAGCCTTTTCTGTGCAGATTCTGGGTGAATATCCAGACTCAGCCGTTATTATTCTGATACAATACACTACCGTTCTAAAATCTGCAGTCAGTATGATTTTTTTAAAAGAAATTAATACTTTTATCCATTAAGAATGCATTAAATCAAAAGTGACCTCAATTTATCATGTTATAAAAGATTTCTATTTTGATACTAACAGTTATTTAGCCTTTTCTGTGCAGATTCTGGGTGAATATCCAGACTCAGCCGTTATTATTCCTATTACTCTGATACAATACACTACCGTTCTAAAATCTGCAGTCAGTATGATTTTTTTAAAAGAAATTAATACTTTTATCCATTAAGAATGCATTAAATCAAAAGTGACCTCAATTTATCATGTTATAAAAGATTTCTATTTTGATTTATAATAATCAGAAATGTTTCTGGAGCAGCAGATCAGCATATTAGAATAATTGCTGAAGATCATGTGACACTGAAGACTGGCGTGATGCTGAAAATACAGCTTTGATCTCAGGAATAAATGACAATTTAACAGATATTCACATAGAAAACCGCTGTTTTAAATTGTAATAATATTTCACATTTTTACTGTATTTTTGATCAAATAAATGCAGCCTTGGTGAGCAGAGGAGGCTTCTTTCAAAACATTTTAAGGACCTGTCACTCAATAAATGTCCATTAACGTCTCATTATAGTGCGATGTTTTTTAAGTGAAAGTTCACCTCGTCCAGTCCGTATAGTAGAGGTTCTTTCCATCAGTAGTCAGTCCGAAGGGATACTGAATTCCCTCCATAAGCTGCCTCCGACTGCCCTGCTGCGGATTCATGCACTCCACTTTATGTGTACCTGCATCAGGAACACCAAACACCATCATTAACACTAAAGCTTCAACTAAACAAAGCGTTTAACGGAGCTTGTGGCTTTCATGAGTTAAACAATGAGATGAGATGTTTTCCCCCCAAACAGCTGTGACTTTATTGCATTTGTAAATGTTTCTCAGTGAACTGGAGCCATACCAGCATCCGCCCAGCACAGCAGAGACGTCTGAGGGTCGTAAGTTAAACCGTTGGGGAGGCCCAAGTCATCCTTGGCCAGGACTCTCCGATTTGTGCCGTCCATGTAAGCCATCTCAATTTTGGGGGCGTCCCTGTTCCAGTCAGCCCAGTAGATGTAGCTGAGGGAGAAACAGGCCTTTGAAAACACTTTGCAATAACTAATTCACTGCAGAAATGAAAGGTACTTTGGTAAGCACTCAAATTCTTAATGCCAAGAATGAGTATAAACATGGTTTTATATACGAGTATATAAACAAAACTGTAATCATGGTCTAAAACTAATGCAGGTGAAATGAGGAAATGCATAAATATCAGCCATGAAACTGTATTTACATTATTTATGCCAAATCTTTACACAGCCTAAATAAAGGCTGCACAGTGCCTGCTCGAAATTCAGTGTAAAGACATAATGCCACATTAAAGCCAGATTAGATTATGCCTGCTCTGTCCCACTTTAACCTCTACTATCACAGTATAAAAATGCATTTATGCCACCTCAGAGCAGCATTAATCGATCTGTGTAAATAAAATACTTAAATGCTACTTCAGAAGCACTTCCGTGACACCTTTGCAGAGTAAATTTGGCATTACACAGCAAAGGTGGCACTGAAGCGCTTCTAAACTGGCATTTATTTGTCTTTACACAATGTTTTAATGCAGCTCAGAGGTGGCATAAGTGTATTTTCCTCCTCTGCAGAGTACATTTGGCATTTCACAGTAAAATCCGGCACAGAAGCATTTCCGAACTGGCTTTCACTGACTCTTTTAATGCTGCTCAGAGGCGACATGAATGCATTAACACAGCAATATTTTGATACTAGGGACAGCGCAGGTATAATTTAGTCTGTCTTTTATGCAGAATTATGTATTTACATACAATTTTGAGCTGGCACAAAGCAGCCTTAACTCATTTATTAGGCATGTTTACATAGCCAAGTTGAGGCTACTCAGTGCCTGCTCAATGTACAAGACATAATGCTGCATAAAGGCCAGACTAAATTATGCCTGCTCTGACCCACCTTAGCCCCTAGCATCACAGTATATAGTTGTGATTGTTGTGTCAATGCATTTATGCCACCTCTGAACAGCATTAATCGATCTGTGTAAATTTACTTTATATGCCACTTCAGAAGCGCTTCTGTGCCACCTTTGAAGTGTAAATTTGGCACTACACAGCAACGGTGGCACAGAAGTGCTTCTGAACTGGCATTTACGTGCCTTTACACAGACTGTTTAATGCTGCTCAGAGGTGGCATAAAGGCATTTACACAGCAATTTCAACTATATATCGATACTAGGGTCAGAGCAGGCATAATTTAGTCTGGCTTTTATGCAGCATTATGTCTGTACACACAATTTTGAGCTGGCACAGAGCAGCCTTAATTCATCTGTAGGTGTCTTTACACAACCAAGTTAAGACTGCTCAGTGCCTGCTCAAAATTTAGTGTAAAAATGCAATGCTGCATAAAAGCCCGATTAAATTATGCCTGCTCTGACCCACCTCAGCCCCTAGTATCAAAGTATACAGTTGTAATTGTTGTGTCAGATCGATTAATGCTGCTCAAAGGTGGCATAAATGCATTGTGTAAAAATACTCACGTGCATATGCTGCATGTCTAGCTAAACACAATCAATTGGCAATAGAATTAGAAATAGTGAGAAACCATAATATTTACCATTGAAAAGTTTTGGGTAGGAAATAATTTTTTGAAAGAATCAAATCAAAAGTGACAGTAAAGACATTTATAATGCTATAAAAGATTTCTATTTCAAAATAATGTTGTTCTTTTGAACTTTGTTCATCAAAGAATCCTGAAAAATAAAACGTATCACAGTTTACACAAAAATATGAAGCAGCACAACTGTTTTCAGTTTTGAATCACAGAAATAAATTACACTTTAAAGTATATTTACTTAGAAAATAGTTATTTGAAATTGTAAAAAGATTTCACAGTTTTTACTGTATTTTTGACCATGCAAATGCAGCCCTGGTGAGCAGAAGCTACTCCTTTCAAAAACATTTTAAAAAATTACATTTTTATACTTAAGTAACAGTTTAGTCGAGGGCGTCTGGAGAAAACACGTGTTAACATCATTGTCTTTTGTAAACATTCTGCTGTGTTTCTCCTGGATCTCCTTCCTCACATTCTTACGGTTAAAGGCCGATGGAGGTTATGTAATCAGAAGAGGCAGCATATGGCTCTGATAAACACAATTTCTCTCACACTAATATTTCCAAGAAAAACAAAGTTAAGCAATCCTAAAATTCCCCAGCGAGCCCCCAGCAGTTCTCTGGCTCGGTGTTATAAACAATTTAACCGAGAGAGATGAACTACGAGCAGAACACACACCGCAATGACATGTGTGCTCTGTAGTTACTAACATTACTAAACAGGCTCTGCATTAATGCATTCCAGAGCTTCAAAACAGCAGGGAATAAATCAGAGCAAAGACCTCTGGATGAATCTACAGAGCATAACACAATTTTGTGAGTGATTCGGCCTAAGACACTTCATAACAATTCATAACCACACAAATATGTGTTGCACTTTCGTGCATTAGAGTAAATTATCTTTACCGGGAGGTGCAGTGCGGTCTTGGCTTTGTTCTTCTTCAGGTTGTGACCTTCCAGAGGAATATACTCAATCTTCCCGCTCTGGGCAAAGAGGATGTGACTGCCAGGAGGCAAAGGACTGATGTTAGGATCGGGTGTCGGTCTAATCGGGCCGGGCACATCATGACCAGGACCTGAAGAACAGAAGAGATGCATGAATATAAATGACTTCATTTATAATAAACTCATATGACTATGTCAATACACCACCTCCATGTAAAGTAAAATGGCCAATGACCTATTAGTGAATTACAGTACAAAACTTGGCATTTATGTCATATGTTGTTATGTAAGTGTAGTTACATCAGCTATGGCAGTGGCTTTGTTCCAAAACCTAATGAGCTGCCTATGTAGGTACTGTATTTTACAGCAGTGTTTCTGAACTGACAGGCCTCAGCACACTTCCAAGGGCCGCAAGATGGCTTAACATGATTTAAAATAAGACTAAACAAGCTTTAAGATAAACTAAAACCGTTTTTAGATGTAAGCTGACATCATATTTTTTACTTTAATTCATTCCCTCAACAACAGCCATTTATTTAAAAGAAACAGGATTCTCATTGTCTTGAAAAATGTAGACACATGAAAGAATTTCTAGACCTGGAAAAGGCATGGACATTTTTGAAATGTTAAGTTTTTCAAGTGGTGTCAAACTTTTAAAAAATATTAATTGGGTAAATTTGTATTAGTGAGTTGATTAAGAAAATCATTTAAAAAAACCTGGAATCATAAATGACAAGATATGTAATGTAAATTCATAGGAAGTAAAGTGTAAACCCTGAAAAACAGTAAGTTCATTTAATCTTTTGGAATTTAGTTATTTAAATTAATTATAATAAATGTATTTAATTATCGTAATATATTACCACTTCTAGTTTCTGTGAATATTTATAATATTAACAGAATATATATATATATATATATATATATACACATAACATCAGAGGTTCACATCAGAGATTATTTTGATTGCTTTGGGACTATCACCACCACTGTGTTTTATGAAAGTTAAAGTTATAGAAAACTATATCCACACTATTGCTGGACCACGAACTCGAAGACGGATGGCTGCAGGTGAGTGGCTTCTCTCTGGGCATTTAGTAGCTGACACACACACACACACTTCTATCCAAGCATTTTGGTTAGGACTGACTCCCACGTTGATTGCATCACGTAAGGAAAGTTATTGGTGTTACGACAGATGATCAAAAATTAAAACCCGTGTTAGTTGTTCAGTTTGTTTCATCAGGAGTATCGTTTGTCGTAACACACTGAAGACTGGAGTAATGATGCTGAAAACTCAGCTTTGATAACAGAAATAAATGACATTTTACAATAGATTTGCACACACTGATGTTCAAAAGTTTGGGTTTAGTAAGATTTGTAATGTGTTTTAAAGAAGTCTCTTCTGTTCATCAAGGCTGCATTTATTTGATCAGAAATACAGAAAAGAAACAGTAATATTGTGAAATATTATTACCATTTAAAATAATGGTTTTCTATTTTAATATACTTTAAAATATAATGTATTTCTGTGATGCGCAGCTGTATTTTCAGCATCATTACTGCAGTCTTCAGTGTCTCATGATCTTCAGAAATCAGTATAATATGCTGCTTTATTATCAGTGCTGGAAACTGTTGTGCTGCTTAATATGTTTTGGATATTTTTCCTGCGATACTCTTTTTCAGGATTCTTTGATGAATAAAAAGTAAAAAAAAGAACAGCATTTAGACTTATATTGTCGAAGACATATATTGTTAATAATTAATATTTCTATTTTGAATAAATGCTGTTCTTTTTAACTTTTTATATGCATTTTATGTGTACATGCATTTTAGACACTTATATTATGCTCGTGCCCCATCCATGCAATGAATGCACGCTATTGAATTTTTTTTTGTTTTTTTGTTTTTCTTTTAGAACATTGAAACTGCTCAGGTAATTTCACTGGTAGGATATGACACATATTCATGTATTAAACTCCACGTAACTCGCAAACTCCCCGGGATAGCGCGAAAATATTTCTGCCCGTTTTCGCTCGTTGTCAGCCTCTGCTTTTCTGCAACAGACTGACGCCTCAGCGTGAATTCAGCTAATAAAAGAAAAATGCTGCAATTTTCTGGAGTTATTTTATGATGTTTTTGGGCAGTCTCAAGCTATAGCTTAAACGTCTCAAAATACAGTCCGCTTCAGATTAGTTTTAGTCTATGCACAAAAAAAATTAAAGTAATTAAAGTAATCTTTATCTAATTCTGATTGGGTGGGCAAGACAGTCATTTGGGTGGGCTTAACCCACCCCTGCCCATGCCTGGAGCTGGCCCTGGTCTGCTGTCTTATAAAGCAGTCGTCTCTGCAGACAACAAAGCAGCTGACTGGGTTTCAGAACAGAGTCTTGATGAGTAAAGCATGTGTAGGACTCACACTCAGGAAAGCGTCCAGGTCCCGTTCGTGTCCCAGAGATCTCCAGCCCATCGCGGTCCACGCACCAGCACTGTCCAATGCTGGCGTGACACTGCATGGGGTCGTACTCGCCCTGGGTGTCACATGTCGGCACAAACTGACCGGGCACAGGACGGGGGCCGCGGGGCCCAGCGCCCAGAACGCTCTCTCTATGCAGCTGGCAGCGCATCTTCTCACGTTCTGCACGGATACAAACACACACACACAGTTAACCCTATAAAGCCTACCTGCTGTATCATATTTGATGTGCAAACTTTGCTGTTAAACCTGTCGCACACAATCATGCCTTCAGTCTCTGATTGATAGTTTAGAGGTTTTTTTAGCAAGTAAAAGATCTTTTAGTATAATTGTACAAACGTCCACCTTCAGCTCAAGCTTCACGTGTCTTTTTGCTGTCAAAACTTTACTGATTTAATAAGGTAAATGTAAGAATAACTATTGATATTGTTAGTAATATTTCAAGATGAACACTTGCTGCACTGAAGCAGCTTCACGCGATTCTCCATGAAAAGTCATTTTAAAATCTGAGTCTCAAATATGATCATCAAGATTTTGAGGAGCGTTTATTTGTTCATCTCTCAATCATCATTGGATTGCATTGCATTATATGTTTGGATCTTTTAAATCTCATCTTACTAAGACATATTATTGGAGATACAGAGCGACGACTGATATTTATATCATTTTATGTAAGTATCTGCTGTACTGTTATAAAGATCTCATTGATTCACATTACACTTTGTGGTCATATAAATATTAGCATGTGTACCAAACTTGCATGTTTTTGTTCAGTTTGAGTCTCTGAAATAAATTGAGCTTTTTTTCCCTCCATATTCTCACTCTATCAGACTATATGAGTCATAAAAGCCCGATGAATCAAAATATGATACTCGACAACATTTTCAAAACAAGATTTTTTACAAATATTTTGTCTAAAGGTTCAATATGTTCCATTAAAAAAAATATAAAACTGTTCGTTCATATGCTTTAGGCTTTTTTTTCATATGCACAGGCTTTACATGGTTAAAAAGCACATAAACCTGTTATTAGTATGCATTTATTGCATACCTGCTCATGCTATTTTATTTTACACAGCCAGACTTTTGACTTTTATTTGCAGGTTAGAGATTGTCTGGCTAACATGAAAAGCGACTGACCCACATGTATGTGAAAAGTATTTGCAACATCAACCAGCAGAGGCTGAATGCTAAAGTTAACCAGTCAAACCTTGACCCTCAGCTTATGCAGACTGTCAACAGATCCAGGATCAAACTTCATCTCTTTCTGAGAATTTCCAGTGTTTCCACTGAATATCAATCAATGCTACAGCTCTGGGTTTAAATCTGAGACAGATATGCTCATGTGAGCTGCTACGGTACATTACATCAGTCCCTGGAAAGCAAATCAGGTTCCAACAACAAAACTCAACTCTCTGCACACTAATCAATCCCATTACTACCACAATCATGACAGCGCTCATAATCGACATGACACACCAAAGACAAACATGCCTCGGGCAATACAGGCTGCTCAAACTAGACTTTAAAACATGAAAAATTATTTTGGTCTGAAGCAGAATATGATATCATGCTCCATGGTTTCTTTTTCTTTTTTCTTTGCATAAAAATTACTTACGTTTTGCATAAAAAATGAGTGCTATATTTAAAACAAACTTCATTTAGAGAGTATTTTATTGTGTAGAATGTCTCAGATTTGGCTTTTTTTCGTGTTGTTCCAATACAAACAAAAGAAATAATCATGAGAATAACAAAGCATTTGTAATTGCAACAATTTTCTGGGAGAAGGAGTGCAATATCTGACAGAAATGCAGGAGTGCCAATATTTCTGTCCATGACTGTATATATACAGTGGGGCAAAAAAGTATTTAGTCAGCCACCAACTGTGCAAGTTCTCCCACTTAAAAAGATGAGAGAGGCCTGTAATTTTCATCATAGGTATACCTCAACTATGAGAGACAAAATGAGAAAAAAAAATCCAGAAAATCACATTGTAGGATTTTAAAAGAATTTATT